TGACAATAAGGACTGCCAAAGTGAGGCAAACAACTGTCGGTACCTTTTACACAAGGTGTTGCTCATAAGGCTACCAATCCCGCATACAATGCTCCATATTGATGAAAATAGCCCCCTATTTGGTGGGAAACATTCTACCATCACTTTTCTGTCAATACTACAAAATCATTCATTAGTAAGTCCAGACAAATTATAAAAGTCTACATATCTATTAATAAAAGTTCTTCCAAGGAGTTAATGAGTGCTGCTGCACTTTGTATCAAAAGTGAAACACCATCATATCCATCTGTATAACTTGCCTGTTCAACACTACTTAATAGATTCATCCGATGAGGGCAAAACATGAACCTATTCCTGGCTAATGAGAATTTACCTTAAGGTGATACATCATCTAACCCAGTTTCTAATAAATTGTTGCTAGTCCTTATGGTTTCAAGTATAAATCCAGTGAACACATACAGTGCTGTCTTCCTCAATAGGTAGAAATGTCAAGTAAGAACCATATGTAGTTCAGATCCTGGGCTCATTCCTTTAGGCCAAGTACAGACTGTCAAAAAGCCTGAGGCTGAATTGATTCAGTCTTTTCAGGTTAGTCTAAGATGAAAACCAATAAGCAAATGAACAAACATTCATTCTTGATTCAGGAAATTCAGCCACAGTGGCTCAAGCCACAAGCCAGGGGCGCTAGAGCACAGCTTTCTGGCACTTAGCCAACATGAGCTGTGTGTTTGCTGCTTCTTCCTGCTGCCCCTCAGATTTCTGGGGTTTGCAGTCCAGACTCACTGTAGCATGACTCTGCAGAGTTGCTCATCACTTCCTCTTCCTGCTTCCACGTGCCTCTGGGATTTGTAGTCCAAAGTTGCAGCCAGCACTAAGCAAACAGGGCAGAGCAGGGCAGCTTTGTACTCAGGGGAAGGGAAGTTTAACTCCCCGCCCCACTCCCTGGCCCCAGACCCCAGCTGGGTTTTACCTGGACGGACCAGTGAGCCAGTCCTCACTGCTCCAGCCAGGAAGCAGAGGGGTGGGGTCAGCCCTGCTCTCTGGAGCAGACAGCACATCCCAATCCAGGGCTCCAAATGCTAGGATGCTGGGAAACTCCAATTTAACTTGAACCAGGAAGGGGTCTGGGACAGACGTTCCATAAACTGGTTTGACCTAAATCAATTACACCTTATACTACATTCAACCAGGTTCATCTTAAACCAGTTTCAGCCATTTTGAACCTAGTTTGTGCGCACTGAGCTTCTATTCTGGTTTAAACCAGTTTCTGGTCATCTAAACCGGTTTATGTGCAACTTCTGTCCCAAAGTCTGAAATGTCAGACTCATGCTTGGGGGTTCCTCCATGGCTGCAAACAGAACCCCCTCCCCCCCACACACACACACACACTCCCCTCTAACTTTCTGAATCAAGAGTCTCCTTCCCTGCTGTTCCAGTTTCTAAGCACTTGTGGTATATGTGAGCATGTAAACATCAAACAAGGCATTTGTTTTTTAGCGCTCAAAACACTCAGATATACTTCCTGTCCTAAAAGTTCTCTCAGAATTAATGAACAAAACAGAAAAACAGATTGATTACAGAGAAAATGGACTACAAAAGCAACAACATTTTAAAACAGGAAAAGCTTATGGGAAACCCTTTTCCACAGAAGTTTTAAAAAAATTCTTTGGTGTGAATTTGCTAGCATGGCACTGAGGTAAACATGAGAGTTACAAATACTGGACATGCTAATTTAAATTCTACTGGAAAGTTTAAGGAATCGGCTTCACTAGTGTTACAGTAAAGTCTTATTCTGATTTAAAGAAAAATTTTCAACCATTTTTAAATTCCACTTATGCAAGGGTTAGAAATTCAGCCCTATCCATTTCCTTCATAAAACAAAAATTAGTAAAATAATTGAAGACTGATAACCAAGTTCAAAAACAAACTTTGTCATTTAATAATGAAAGCTCATTATTGAACAATGCAGATTAGTCAGTTCACTCAACACCTTTCTATACTGGTTTTAAATGCATTTTACAAGAGTAGCTCACATTTTTATTTTTCTGCACTTCATTCAGTTTCATTGCTGAGGACAGACAAGTCAGTATCATCTTCTAATTCTTGTACTAAGAGACTGCTTCCATCATTATGTTGTTGGTTACATTAGAGGAATATTCTTTATTCTATTTTAAGTGCATTCTAAAATTTTTTAAATGAATTAAACATTAACAGCCACTGGTTTTAGTATAGACAACCTGCAATTTCTGCTTTAATAGGAGGCCAGCAATTTTATAGTTACAATACAGCTGTATTGTACTAAATACTTCCTGATCATTATTTTTTCTTACAAGGGTGCTTGGCCAAGATAAGCTTATGAGAGAAAAAATGCAGAAGTAAATCTTATGCAAAGTTTCAAGCTAGAAATTATAACAAAAAAAATGTAAAGCTTTATAAAAGCTTCTCTTTCTCTCGCATAATAATTTTATTTCCTAAAACCAATTGATTTAAACAACAAAAATGTTCATGGCATCAGCTGGTACACAGGTCTTAAACTTTCTTACTGTATTTACTCTTTAACCATTACAACTGAAAATGCACTGTCCAAGTTTGGTTATCTCAAGTAGCCAGACTCATTCTATTTGTTTTCCAAAGTGACGGTTCCTTTATTTCTTTGGAGCCACTTGGTCAACTTCTTAAATGGACAAATACTTGTGTAACACTAAAGTTAATACGACAAACCAGGACAAACAAAATATGGAATGAAAAGTTATCTGTAATTTTACAGTAACTGTCAAAGCATTATAACAGAGGAAAGTGTTAACATTCTGAGAGGAAAAACCCTAAAGTGTAATCAAGCCACAAAGCTACTGGACTGAACTGGACTATAGTCAGAGTAGGCACAAGCCCCCATGTAGATATAAACCATCATTCAATCTGAATAAACCTACACATAAGAGATTTTCCAGAGTCCCTTAACTACAAGGTTGTAACTGTCCGGCTACTTTATAAAATATTTGTATATTATTTGTAAATATAATATGCAATACAGCACTTCATACACTTAAAAAAGCAAAAAGTATCTTTACAGCATTAGCATTTTGGTTGGATGAGAAATAAGATAAGAGAAAGCAAAGGCTAAGATAAATAAATTAAGAAAAACTTGGGTGTGTGTCTTAATTTTAAGGAAACACAGAATCAAGCAAACATTAGATTGTAGAGGGACCAATGCTGTAAAAAATTACTCACTAATGAGTCCTTAAAGTCATGTCACCAAACTATTTATATAAGCACCAATGAACTGCCTGACTGAGTAATTTTTTGAACAAAAGTGGGTCCCTGGGCTTTTAGAAAATGAAACAGTTGGTCTAAATTGAAATGAATTGAATTTGCATCCCTTTTGTTTGTATGAACATGAACTGTATGATAACACAGGCAATCTTCAAACAGTCTGAGTTCATCGGTTCTCATATTGTATGTTCAGTCATTAGCCAAGAAGAAAGTTATATAAAACTTAAGCAGACTTAAATCAATCTTTAACAGGAGTCCAGTTTTTCAGGTCCACTGCAAGCAGTTACCATACTGCAAGCACAAGTAACACTTAGCAAATGATGCAATGCCCAATCAAGGGTAGGGAGATAACTTGGTGGTGAAATTCCTATGCACAACAAGGAGGTGAAAAGGCCAGAGGAGGCCTTAGCGTCCATTCACGTGAGGGTTTGACTACTACTGTAACATCTCTGCCCGTTTTTCCTTAGAAATGTATGTAATGATAGAAAAACACTCGAAGTGCTGTGTTACTTCTGTTTCTATAGAAGTGTAACAGACTGTAACAGAAGGGACATTCATCTGTAGGGGGTGTTTCATGGTGAGCCAAGACCAGGCTAAGCCTGGGAGATTTTTTGTCCCGCTGAGGACACCAGAACAAAAGGCCTGGAGCAATCCTGCCTACAGGCCCTGGAAACAAGGTCCCTCAGAGCCCCAGAGTTCCCCAGCCAGGATGGGCGGCCGCCAGGGTCTGGGGCAGCAGGTTGGCAGTTGGGAGCGGAGGGAGGGACCCACCACTGTGAGGCGACTGCAGGGATCTCTCTGGAGGACCAGAGCCGTGAATAAGGAGAGCGAGCAGAGCCCAGAGGCGAGCCTGGCTCTGAGTCAAGGGGAAGCACCTGGGGCCTAGAGTTTACAAACAGGCATAGATAGCCTTCTCATCTTGTAGTGAACCCTCACATGGGGGGCTCTGAGGGAGTGACCAACCAGGACCACAGACCCACCAACCCTGTCTGAGGGGCAGAAACTATTGTAAATAGTTACCTATTGTGTCAGAGTGCGTTTACAGGAGGTATCCCCACACTGGGATCCTGAGGTTCCTCATTAGCCCAAAGGAACCCAGAGGACAGGTCTAGCTGGTACCCCATGGTGCCACAAACTGCCACGGGCTGTGGTTAGCACCCCACAGCGGGGTGTTACAAAAGAAAAAACTCTATGCTTTAATCCAACTATTGCTTTTATAGACACGAATCATAACTGAAACAAGATTCTTAAATAGAATTAACCATGGCCCCTTCTGTTAATGGCACGTGTAGCTAGTGATACATGGACTGTTGTAGTCCAGAGCACAAATTACAATTTTATAAAGAGAGAAAGCTGAACTAAGCCAGGACCAGACAACAGAGAGGCTATGTGAATAAGGAATTTTATACTTGAACACATTTGAAAAAGAATACCATATTTTATCACATAACATACACCTCCAGTAAGACGTGCATTCTTCACTCTGTTTTCCTACAAAAAAAAAGAGATTTTTCCAGAGTTACTGGCACCTAGAGCAGGAACAGAGCCCCATCTTCAGCTCCCCTTTCTGCTCAGGCAAAAACTAGTTTTAACCCTTTCACAGCAAAACTTTCAGCAGCTCTTGGTTGCTCAGCCAAAAACTGAAACTGGAGCTGCTGCTGAAGACTGACCTCCATAGAATCCAGGATTCTGAAAAAAACTAAAACCAGTCTGGAGGACTGTGAAATCAGAGATCAGAAGCCACGAGTAGCTAACAAACAGAAAAACTGTCAAAGAAATTAAGCATATCAGAGCAACATCCGTTTAAAGTTCTCCTTTGTCATATTATTAGGATAATTTTTCCATACTACTGTCAGCATGTATTTCAAAGTATTCTGAGTTGCATTCACTGACAAAGTAAATGAATTTACAACAAAAGTTGGGAAATGCCTGATCTTTTAAAATATTTTTCTTACCATCCACAAGATTGAACCTGTAGGCTGCTCAACCTGCTGTGATCCACTCCATCTGGATTTTACTGTTGCCAGACCAAAATCTCCTATTTTAACTGTACGGTCCTCATGAAGAAATATGTCTAAAATGTCTATTAAGGAATTTCTATCACGTAAGTCAGCTTGGTCCAATACATTTCATGCATTGTCTGATTAGGACAGCAAATACCATTTTTAAGTTTAGAGTCTTCCCTGAAACACCTTCAAATAAGTCTGCCTCTTTAATCTTTATTTTATTATATACACATAGAGAACATCTAACACTCAGGGGAAACTATGATATTCAAATAGAGAGGATAGAACAATAGGACTAGCCAGTTCCAAGTTATTATTTAATGCACTAACCTTATCTCCAGATAGCAAGTTAAATAAAATTAACCATAGAGCTGACCAATAAAAGTATTCTTTGAGGAAGTTGCAGGAGACAGGGAAAGGTGAAAGGCAATGAACATCCATTTTCAGTTTGAGAACTAGAAAATTTCAATTCCAAAAGATGCTACAGATGTGTGAGAGGCAGATCTCTCTCACTTTAAGTCATCTAGCAGACCTTAATGAGAAGAGCAGACTAAATTATGTTAATGAAAAATAGTTGCACTGTAAATGTCCACAGCAATTCTCTGGTCTTGCACTGAAAATGAGAAGCTCTATTTGCTTAGAGAACTGAGGTTGGCAGATGTTCTACAATGGTCTTTAAAAAAAAAAAAGCTTCATTTTCCTTTTTATAATGGCAGAAAGTTGCTAGAAGTAGATGATATTCAGTAAATAGAATGTTTATCCTGTACGTGTTTGGTTGATATCTTTGATACGAACTTACTAGTGAAACCCTATCACTTTTGTTCATCAAGTTTATAACAAACAAAAATTTGTGGCTTAGTTACTGCCAAAAATCACACCCCCCTTTTTAAAGTCATCTAATCATATATGGAAAATATAAATAAGTAGATTATGATTCCCCTTCAAAACATTTTTGGAAGATGGTGATATCCTGTGAAAGACAAGTAAATTTGGTAACTTCTGGAGCATCATTTTTGCATTCCAAAAGGTGTCTATGCACATGGGTAGCAAAGAATGAGCATATAAACTACAAGCCTGTACCTGCCTCAGAGATTATTTGTTCTTTTAAAAAATTACGGTAAAAAAGCTGGCAGGGAGGAGGAAGGGAGGGGAGCGGGAGGGAGAAGGGGGGGCAGGGTGGCAGCACACCACTGCTGCCGGGCCCTGCCAACAGCTGGGAAGGAGGAGAGGAATGGGGTGGGGAGGCAAGTGAATGCAGACCAGACAGACCCAAAACCGGGGGGGGGCGGCGAGCAGCGCAGGACCCAAAGCAGGGGGGTGGGACCTCTATCCTGCCCCCTCACCCTTCATTCCTGTCAAAACCATTCTGCCCTGTTGTGGTCTTTCTGAGTTCTTTACAACAGAAAAATTGCTCTATTTTTTTCTGCAGGCAAAAAACAAGTGAAAACGAAGACCTGGCATTTTCTGAGGGATGCCTAGAGTTGAATGAGGGGTGCTGAGTCAAAAATGTTTGAGACCCACTTTTCTAAGAAGACAGAGGATGTATAAATTTAACCTCAAGTCTTACAATTGTTTCTCTGGCATGTGAGCAACACCTCAGTCTTTTACAGGTTAAGAGAGAACATGTTATCTGTATTACTCATATTCTATTTTACATCCATCTTTGCAGTTCAAATTGTAATACATAACTTTGGAGACAAAGGTATGATTTTGATTAAATAAATTACGTCATCTATTTTTTAGGCATTTCAAATGCACTGCATAGCACAGGTATTTACATACCTTTTATATACAGTCTTTCATGTTAAAATTATTTTCAAGTTTATAAAAAGTTTAACACATTTTTAAAGTTGCATTTTTAAAGCTCTCATTTTTCTCCTTTACTACTTCACAATGGTTTAAGAGATTATAAATCAAGATTTTAAAAAATTAAAATCAATTTTCTGTCTACTATACAGGGTGATGAAAAAGTCAGGACCCATGGGCATTATAACATTTATTCTAGTAAATGTTCAAACTGACTACCATTAACTTCAACACATTACTCAATTCTGTTTTGAAATGATGCTAGGGCTTTTCTTTCATTAATTTGTGGCATTTTTCACCTAAAAATGACAAAAGAAAAACAATTAATAAATATGTTATAATGTCTATGGGTCCTGGCTTTTGGGCCATCATGTATATCAGAGCCTCCAAAACAAATTTTTGTTAAAATAATTCATAATAGGATTAGAGGAAAGGAAATACAAAGAATATTTTGTTTAAAAATGTGTTTTAAAATCTGCTTTTTAACCTGTTATCCAATTGCTAATCTACAGCCCCGAAGAGAGGGTTTGGAACAGGCCTGGCCCCGAAGCAGCAGGAGTGAGGGGGGAGAGAGCAGACCCGTTTGCCCCTGCCCCTGACTGGATGAGAAGCGAGGGCGGAGCCAGGACCAGACACAGGACTCTGCCCCCGCCCATGATGGCAGGGAGCGCACCACTGCCACCACTGGCCCCTGACAAAAGCCAGGACGGAGGGGGAGGGAGGGCACAGTGATGGCACCCCAATGCCAATGCTGGGCCCTGCCAACAACTGGGAGGAAGGGAAGCGGGGAGGAGGCAGGTGAACGTGGGCCAGGTAGACACGAAGCACGGGGGTGGGGGCAACAGGCCTTGACCCCAGGGTAGGGGATGGGGGGAGCAGGGCCAGACCCAAAGCATGGCAGGGGAGCCAGAAACAGGCCTCTGTCCCCACCACCCCCTCAATCATTCTTGATGGGCAACTGGCTAGTGAGCATATAAACGCTAAGCCTCTATCTGCCTGAGAGATTATTTGTTCTTTTAAAAAATTATGGTAATTATAACTGGGATGTTACAATTTCACAGATGATTTTTACAGCAATAATAAATCAGTTATGCGGATGCAAGTTAAAACAGTTGAAAACATTAAATGAAGAAAAGGATACTATTTGATTTCATGTCTCTGTGGATGATATTCTTTGCATGTAAATAGCTGTGAAAATAAAAAGTACTTTTAAAATTTCTAAATTTGAACATGTATTCATACTATATAGACAAGTCAAAATTAATATAAATAAAATCACAAAAATAAAATTACCCTGAATTAATTATAAAATAACAATGGCAAATATTTCAAGGTCATAATTCTATACGTGTTAAAATCAAAAACTAGATGCTGTTCACCCTTAATAATGTACATTAGTTTTAATTTCACCTGTCCATAATTAAGATTAAAGTGACAGAATACCTATTATTTCTGCAGATTTTTCATAAAGAGATTTATGATTATCTTCCATTTTGCTGTTTAGGCAGTACCAGTGAAAATTTTTCCTTCAATAGGAAGAAACACATTATAGGAATTGTCATTACCCTTCCCTATGGGTCTTTTTATCCTGAAACAGTCACAAAAAGTAAAGGCAATCCATCATGAAAGTAAAATCAGTGCTGCCTATTACTGTATTAATCTATGTTTAATTATGATTAGATTCATTAAGAATTTATACCTGCAAAGCTTAAATGAATTTAAACTTGCTTTGACAAATTAAGATCAAAACTTCCATCTTCTTCTCCTTCAGAAAGCAAATCAAACAACTGTGTACTTCTCTAATTCCAAGCTAACAAGAAGTCTCCAAAATGACATCCTCTAAAAGGGCATCTTGCCACTACCCTCCCATCTCATATGTAAGAGCAAAGCACCGGACTCTGCAGCATTTTTTTCTGCATAACTTTTTTAACGTACTTAAACAAAGGTATTTTAGGTGTTTTGAAATATTAAATAGGTATCATCCACAATATCATTTGAAAGCCCCTTGATAACATTATCTTTTTTAATGATTTATAACAGATGGTGGAGTATGAACATCATTTTCAAACCCCATGAGTTTTAGGGCAGTGAATTCTCTACATTAGTTTTTCCTAAAGATGATCAAGGGATCAGACTAGATCGAACTGCCAATCCTACTCACTCCATTCCTTGTGCCGTCTGTCGGGCAATTTCAATACGCTGGAACATTTCGAATTTGGTCTCTTGAACATGAATATGTTTATACAGACTGCTTCCTTCACACCACTGAGTAACAATAGCCAGATTATCTTTCGTCATATAGCCCATGAATAACAAAATATTTACATGTCGTGTTTTCCTAATGGAAAAAAAACAAAGAAATGAATGACTATCTTCTATTTTTTAAATTCCCTGAAGTATGTATTCTTGGCTATGGGGACACTGTGAAAGTTCCCAATCAAAAATATATCCTCTTCCCTCAAAACTATTTATGAAATATACACATGTGTTAAAGGGTTCTTTTTAAATTGTTAACAAAACATAGCATAATTACCTGTTACTAATTAACAGAAAAAGCATGCCTTCTAAACTTTGTGGTTTTTTCCACTTAGTTTTACATTTGATGCAAGAACATTTTCAGAGCCCAAATAAATACAATTATTACTTAATATAATCATCCTAATGCTACAGGTTTCCCTTGCTTTATGTGGTTTCTGTATGTGCCAATTTTCTCTTGTGCAATGACCCTTTTAATACCAAAAAATTGTTATATGCAAGGTAAATTCACTCTTATGCTATCAGTGTGGTGGAAGCCCACAGTCAGCTGCTTTGTGTGGTGCATTGTGGGAGTAGCACACACCAAAATCTAGTTTCTTGTGTGGATCTGTGCTCCTTGCTTGTCGTCTGTGACACGTGTTTCTGTAGTTGCTATCCCCATTATGACAGCATGCCCTGTGTGTACTGTCTGCTATTGGCGAGTACCAAAATTGTCTTGTAAAAGTGGTAGAAATGCTTTTGAGGGTCAGTACAGCCGAGGTCTTGGAATGTATCCTTATTTGTTACATCGCAAAGTAGGTTCTCTTACGCGAATTTGAGTTATGCACTGTTTTCCAGGAACACATGTACAGCATAAAGTGAGGGAAACCTATACTAAGAAATTTATTACTCCAGTATGTTTAATTTACAACCTAAATAATTCACAAACGTGATAACAGTTGTTCTCTCATGCACTAACTGGCTCTTAATTGTAGGATTCAACTTCATTACAATGGACTGTCCAAAGATATTGGGCAAAAAACAGACAGTAATTAAAAGCAAAGAGGTTCAGAAGTGCACTAAAACAGTTAAAAGCACATAAATCATGAGTAAGCAGAGAAGTAACACACCTTAAGCTTAATGCATTTTTTCTAGCATTGATGATGATCTTATCTAAAGAAAGTGTTATTGAAATACTCCAGAGCAAGGTAAAATTAAAGTATGTCAGTCACTACGACAGAGCAGGGATGGGCACCCTATGGCCCACAACCCAGCCGATGGATGTGGGGCTTTAGCAGCATTCAGCAGTGGGACAAGTGGCAATGGCAGGGGGTGCTCTCACCCTGCTGCTGCATGGACAGACTACCACACAGGGTGTTCTACCTGGGCCACCATGGGGACAGGGGCAGCAGCAGGCAGGTTTTAATGCCCCAGCCAGCCACTTCTGCCTCAGGGTGCGTCATTCTGGTCTATGGACAGAAAATGTTGCCTACCCTATCAAACAATAGCAATTTTTCCTGATAAAAAAAAGTGAGATGGCATAGTGTTGCAAAATGTTATCTATCAGCTCACCTTAATACAGCCACTTCATTTCTGAAGGCCTGAAACTGTTCTGGGGTTGGATCTACAACCTTTAATATCTTCACTGCTACATCCCCTGCAAATATATTTACCACAGGTTACCAACAATGAAACAGTCCTTAAAAAAAAAAAAAAGTCATTACATCTACATTGACATGCCCTGAGATTTTTGGACAATACCACATCTTTAATAACCTGTATAGAAGAAAACATTTCTGGAGACTAAAATTCTTGAGCTGTCAATAATTCATTTGGTTGAGATGGGGCCATAAAACCCAAACTAGAAGAGTTAATCTTTTAAATAGTTAAAGAATGTGTTCTATTCATTTACTGACTAGCTAGTAAATGGCCCCAAAAGGCACGTGCATGCTATTTTATAGAAGTTGCAGAACAAGTAACTGAAGTCTAAAAGGTAGGGGTGCACGGACAAAGATTTTTTTGGCTGATACCAATGGCCAATTATTAACCAGCCATATCGGCCAATACCGATCCACTAGCTGATATGCAGCTTGGCAGTTTAGAGAACAGCTCCCTGCTAGTAAGTCTGTGGAAGGGAAAGGGTGTGGCGGGGGGGAAAGCAGATCAAGGACCCCATGGTGAGGGAGGAAGTGGGGCAGGACAAGCGCTGCCCAGCCAGGGAGGTGAATGCGACCCCGGGAGTGGGACAGAGCCATGGACAGCTTGTCTGGAGGTATAGGTGGGGCGAGGAGAGAGGGTGGCTCCCTGCCACTGTGTACAACCCCCCAGGGAGGTATGGGGGGCATGTGCCCCCCAGATTTGTGCGCAGGGTGAAGGTGGGTTACCTGCTGCAGGCTCAAGGACAGGAGTTGTGCCAGCCTCTTCCCAGCAGAGGGATGGGTCGGGGCATCGCTGGGAGGGCGGCTACTGGGTGGGCTATAACCATCCCAAAATTCCTTACAACCCCTCCCTCCCAGTGCCGCTGCCTGCCCCAAACACAGCTCCAGGCCAGCCCAGACCAGGAAGAGGCTGGCTCAGCCCCTGGCCACAAGCCCACAGCAGGAAGCTTGCCCTCACGCTGTGCACAAATTCAGGGAGTCACATGCCCCCTATGCCTCTCCTGGGGTGCACACAGAAAAGAGAAGCTGCGCTCCCTCCACACCCCACTCCTACACCCCTCCAAATAAATGTCGAAAATAAATCTCACATCTAGAGGACACCAGCAGAAACTATGATAAAGATTAAATTAAAGTTCATAGACAAAGAAAATTTAGTATTGTATCTACTCTTTAACTATCAACTATTTGATACATCACATAACAGCTAGGGATCTCCAGAATTTGCACTGGAAAGGCGTGGTGGGTTGTCTTCTTTAATCTTGGTGCTTTAAATATGCTGTGGTTTTCACTTCCCCACCATCAAGTGCAGGCAGTGAGCGTAGGTGGTAGGGGGGCAAGCGGAGGAAAACTCCAAGATAAAGAAGCTGCACACTTCCAGTGCAAATTCCAGAGGTCTATAATGATAACATATGACCTGAAAAGCTAATGAATTAAATCTCAATGAAAACCTGTTTTGAATTTGAGAACATACCCCCAAAGAAACTTAAATTCACCAGACTGCACCATATCAAATGTTTTACTGATATCTATCACATTCCTTATGTATAAAAATGATTAGTTTTTATCTTGGTCTGTCACAGTCCACTTTGGTAAAGTCATTTTGCATTTTATGCAATTTTCTGTTTACCTTCATCTCTACCTATTCTTTCACTAAGTTATAAATAATGAGATTTAAGTCTTTAGTAAATTTTTAAAGACTTAACTCTTCTTTCATAGGGTGCATCCCATTCTCTGGTGGCTCCTAAAGATACATAATGTCTTAGAGTAAAATTAATTCCTTCCAAAGGATTAAGTTTCTGAACTAAATCAAAATACATTCAGGTTTCCTCACCTTTCCAATATCAGCAAGAAAAGAAAAAAAAATTAAGTTGAAAGTTAGGATTTATTTTCAAAGCAAATATGCCTGCAGGGAATTCATAATACTCAACAAAAATGGACATGTAATGATGAAATGAGCAAAAAAAAAAAAGAGAGAAGGGAACAAAACCAGGAAAATTGCTGAGAGAATGATGGACCTAGCAAGTGGTAATAAACATGTAGCTATTTTTAGGCACATAGGATTAAAGCAAGAAGCCAGTTAGCATTAGAGCAGAGCCAGCTGCCCTGCTACAGTTGAGAAAATTGAGAATGCCGTTCCAAGTCGCACATTTATTCTGATGGCCCTAAAATTCATGTGCCTTATGGGATCACAGGGTATTCCTGTTCCAAATCTGGGTTCATCCGAGTCAGAGACGTCTAACATACAGCCTTCTCTTCTCCCTGGAGCAGGGCTGGGACAGAGGGGGCAGGGAACAGGGAGAGGAGGGAAACAGGGGGTGTGGTAAATCTTTCCTAAACATTAACTGGCTCTACCAAGGTTAACTGGCTCTACATTTGAGGATTAAACCACAAACATCTCATTGTGCCCAAAATGCTGTCAGTGAAGTAATTCCAGCTAGCTCACAGTACCCACTGAGAAAGCATAAATCAACAAAAAACAGGCTCTCTAGATAGTTGCAAACCTACTGCTCTAAACCACAAAATAGATTGTGCAGCACAAAGTTGTTTTTAGCTTGCCAGGCTTTACATTACCTAGGTGGCTCATGGGACCATCAGAAGCCACTGGGGTTGACCAGCTAGCACATGGCAGCTGGTATGTGGGTACTTTCCAAAAAATCAAAACAAAGGAAAGTATCTTGCTACAGTCTGCTTCTGTGAAAGGGTTTTTTAATTATTATTCTGAGAAAACTACTGAGGCACAATCCAAAATTAAGGCACTCCAGCTACTATCAAATAAGCTATAATGCCCACAAGCACCACAGAATGCTGTGCCAACAATCAAAACATACTCAATTTTCATCCCTAAAAAGCTTATAGATGCAAGTAAACTCAATTCAGAGTAGAAAGCACTATTTTCTAATTTACTCACTTAAGCAACGCAGACTTCCTGTTCTCTATTCTGCAGCTGGAATTAGGTTCAGAACACATACAGATGCTGTATTTATTAGGGGTGTGCGAAACTTTGGTTGCTGATTTGATTCAGAGAAGATTCAGCCGGATTCGGAGGCCAAATCACTGACTCCGAATCAAATCAGGAGAACAAAAAAACCCTCCAAATCAATTCATAAAAGATTCAGAGATTTGGAAGGCAGCCTTTCAGGGGAACAGAAACTGAGAAGAGGGAGCAGGAGCAGGAGCAGGAGCAGGAGCAGGGGGGAAAAGCCTGACATCATCTCTAGCTGACTGGTGACTCTGATATTTCCCCGAGTCCCCTTCCAATCACTGTGCTCGGCTGAGGGGTGGGGGTGAGGGACATGGAAAAACATAGAAACAGAATGTAAGCCTCTGTCTGCAGCTTTTCTGTCATTTTTGTGAGCTGTTTCTGCCTGAGCAACAGTGACTGAAAGGTACTACTGGACTGGCTTATCTTCCTAGTCAGTCTCCTGCTAGTTTCTGTTCTTGGAAAGGACTGGATACAGTTTACTAATTAGAATCTCTCTACTTATCCATATCCAAACCATTTCTTTCAACTTATTCTTCCCCCCAAAATCTCATTTTTGTTCTCGTTATTTCCAACCCCCACACACACACTTTAAAAGAAAGCTGTGTTTTCCACAGCAGTGTGATCCATCACTGTGCAGGAAAGCACATACATTACACACTCACACACATACAGTACACAGAAAAGAAGAGGTATTAATATTATTAATTACACACACACACACACACACACACACACACAGTAAACACAACAGAGAAGAAGTGATAGTACTAGTCAGACACATACAGTAATCAGAAAAGAAGTAAATATTAGTTGCACACAAACACAGAAGATGACATATTACAGCTGCACACGCACACAGACACATTTTCCAGCACAGGAAAAATTAATATGTAGTGTGCTGGAAAGGCAGGTACCAGGTCTTCTGGCAGGGGAGGGAGAAGGGCTAGAGGGACTAGGGGGAGAGCTGCAAATTCCCCCCATCTCCCCCAAACAGGTCTCCTTCTCCAGAAAGCATCTTGGAAGAAGCTGAGGTTGTGGAGGCAAGTGGCTCAGCTGAGTCAGCTCCTGTTGTTGTGCCTCAGCCAGCTGAGAAGGGGGATAAGGCAGGATCCCCACCCTCAACTCAGAAGCAGGGGACTAGTGTAGTGTGGGATCACTTTGAGGTGGCAGATGATCCCAAGTATGCTATCTGCCAGCACTGCCAAAGGCAGATCAGCCAGGCCAAGGAGGTGAAACACTTCACCTCCATGGTGATGCTGCTGCATCTCAGGAGGCAGCACCCCCTTGCCTTTGCTCCTCCTGAGCCTGGCACCAGTAGGAGTGTGCCCAAAAAGAAGTCCCCATCTCACTCCAAAGCCCCTGTTCCCATGAAGCAGAGGCAGGCCACCCTGGACCAGTGGGGGAAGCCACAGATAAAGAGGGGCACATTGCAAGGGCAAGCAAAGCCACACAGAACGTTGCGGAGATGCTTGCTCTGGATGGCCAGCCCTTCTCCTTAGTTGAGTTCAGGTGGCTCACGGCACTCATGGCCCCATCATACCAAGTGCCTGCACGCACCACCTTTACCAGGACGGTGGTGCCCTCCCTGTATGAGGCGTGCAGCAAGTACTTGAGGAAGGAGCTGCACAAGGCAGGACCGCAGGTAGCCTTCCACTTCACCTCAGACATCTGGAGCAGCTGGGGTGGAGATCATGCCTACCTCTCCCTCACAGGTGTGATCAGTCAGGCAGTCAGTGGGCCCTCCTACAAGCAGAGGCGATGAACGAGTCTCACATGGCAAAGGAGATCATGGTGGCCATAAACCGCATGGTGCAGGGGTGGCTTGTTGGGAAGGGAGAGCTCACCCGTGGGTTCATGGCCACCAACAACGGGGCCAATATGGTCAAGCCGGTTCATGATGCCAACTTTGTTGGCATCCGCTGTGTGGCACACATGCTGCACCTCACAGTCAGGGATGCCTGGGACGGGGACAGGGTTGCTGGTGATGGCACTGTCACTACCACCCAGCTGATTTCA